GCAGCCGTGTCCTCCTTCGCCCCAGCTGCTTCGTGCGCGTGAGTGGTACGCTAGTTTGAGCTGTCGGAGTGGCCGTAGTGGTAGTCGCTCTGGAGTGCATCGTTCGGGAGCTTCTGGTAGTGGACAGGTGCAGCTGCCGTGTCCTGTCAGTGAGGCTGCTGCTCTAGGTGCTAGTACGTCTGTTGCCCTAGGTGCTGGTGAGGCTGCTACTCTAGGTCCTAGTGAGTCTGCGCCCCCTGGTACTGAGTCGACTGAGGCCCTGCACACCTTCACCCTGGACTCAGGTGCTTCTCGCTGTTTCTTTCGTGACCGCACTGCCCTTGAGCCGCTTGCTCGGCCAGTTGCTGTCTCCCTCGCTGACCCCTCTGAGGGTCCGGTCATTGCGACCTCCTCCACTGTTCTTCCCTGTCCTGCGGTCCCGTCGGGCACACTGTCAGGTCTCCACCTCCCCTCGTTCTCTACGAACTTGGTGGCGGGTTGTGCGCTCCAGGATGCGGGTGTTCACCAGTTCACCCCTGCCTACGAGCGCGTGACACACTGCACGTGTGCTCGGACGGGCCGTCACCTGGCTACCTTCACTAGGCAGCCGGGGTCGGACCTGTACACACTGACCACTGAGTCCCCTCAGGTAGCTGCGTCCGCGTCTGCGTCAGGTCAGCTGTCGGCCCCCTGCTCGTGTCGCTCTCTGGCGCACGACACCGTTCTCTGGCACCACCGACTTGGCCACCCGTCTGTGCAGCGCCTTCGTGCCATGCACAAACGGCAGCTTGTCTCTGGTCTTCCCAGGGTGCTCCCTCCCCTCCCACCCTCGCCTGCTCCTCCCTGTCTTCCCTGTGTCGAGGGGCGGCAGCGCGCCGCTCCTCACTCCTCCTTTCCCCCGACGACTGCTCCCCTGCAGACGCTCCACCTGGACGTGTGGGGCCCAGCCCGCGTCCGTGGTCAGGGTCAGGAGAGGTACTTCCTGATTGTTGTTGACGACTACTCTCGCTACACCACGGTCTTCCCCTTGCGCACCAAGGGTGACGTCCCTGATGTCTTGATCCCTTGGATCAGCAGAGCTCGTCTCCAGCTCAGCGAGCGTTTCCGCTCGGACTTTCCTGTCCTGCGTTTGCACTCTGACAGAGGTGGTGAGTTCACCTCCGACCTTCTGGCAGCCTACTGTGCCGAGCACGGCATTGAGCAGTCGTTCACGCTTCCGGCCTCTCCACAGCAGAATGGGGTTGCTGAGCGCCGCATTGGCCTGGTCATGGAGGTCGCTCGTACCTCCCTGATCCATGCGGCTGCTCCCCACTTTCTGTGGCCGTTTGCGGTCCGATACGCTGCGCATCAGCTCAACCTCTGGCCCCGTGTCTCCTTGCCGGAGACTTCCCCGACACTGCGTTGGACGGGAGAGGTTGGCGATGCGTCGCGTTTCCGGGTCTGGGGATCCCGAGCTTTTGTTCGCGACACGTCCGCGGACAAGCTCTCCCGTCGCGCTGTTCCTTGTGTCTTCCTTGGCTTTGTCCCGGACGCCCCTGGTTGGCAGTGCCCAGGAGCTACGCTGGCTGACCTACCTGCTGACCGACTTGGGAGAGCGGCCTCGTTCTCCTCCAGTGCTGTACGTCGACAACAAGGCTGCCATTGCCTTGTGTGAGGAGCACAGACTGGAGCACAGAACGAAGCACATCGCCCTGCGGTACTTCCTTGCTCGAGAGCTGCAGCAGCGCGGTCAGCTTTGTCTGCGTTACGTGGCCACTGAGGCCAACACTGCTGATGTGTTCACCAAGGCGCTTCAGCCTTGTGACCATCAGCGCTTCTGTACTCTTCTAGGCCTTGTGCCTGCTGGACCTCACTTGCTTACTTCTTGACTCTGTTTGTACTGTGATCTCTATATATATACCTGCATGCTTACACTTGCTAGGTTGCGATCACTGTATCTCTTGCTATATTATCAAACTGCATGTGAACTGGTCTTGTGACCGCTTGCTTGTGCTCGGAATTTGTGTGGTATCCTTGAGATCCACCCTGAGCCTGTTTTGCTTTGCTTTGCTTTGACTGGTCTTGTGACCCTCTGGTTGTCTCCCACTTCGCCTATGGGGGTGTGTCAAACATTGTATGTTTATATTGTGTAGGCTATAGTGGGTTTAGCCTTAGAGGGTACACAAACTTAGGGTTTCATACTTGTACCCACCTTCCTGCTAGTTCTATTCTACATTTCACCCGAACCATCGAGAAGGCGGTGGAATGACCTGCCAGCGCATCATGTTCGTGCCACGATACCCTCCTCTCCGGGTTCAGACAGGGGGTACCCGTCTCGCCCCGACGAGGACCCCGAGGCGCTAACCAGCATGGGTCCCTTTGATTCTCTCATTTGTTCTCCATTTCTCTAAGTTTCTTGTTCAATTTCTTGGTCACTCCCGCCTGGCTGCGGAAGCCATGGCGGAATTCAGCGGCACCCACTTCTTGTTCAAGAAAAAGCCTACTCGAAGGCCCGCGTTTACAGTAGACGCTGACGGTTGGTGCACCCGTATCCCGCCAGAACCACCAAAGCCACCACAGCCACCTGCGCCTCCTGCGCCTCCTGCACCTCCTGCTCCTCCTTTGCCTCCTGCTCCTCCTTCGCCTCCGCGTCATGTGTCACCGCAACACACTGGCAATCAGCCCGTGCTCACGCTGCTGCTTCCATCGGCGTTTGACGAATTCCTCTCAGAACCAGAGTCAAACAACGCGCCGGATGTGTACGTGCGAGTGGACCACGTGCCTGGAGGACCGTTGGGGACAACCCGACGATTGCCCTTGGGACGAATCTGCAGTCGGCGCCGACGATGATGTTGCTGACGCTGAGGAAGCGAGCGGCGCTGGTGGCGCCGAGGGTGACACGGAGGCTTCCGCGGTGTCGAGGGCGGCACCGCTGAGGATGCGTTTCCAGATGATGTTACGGGCGACGGTGACGACGACGGCGTTGAGTACTGGTCACGCGACGGGCTACCTGAGAAACTGCCCATACCAACGTATCCTCCGACTAATCGCAAGCGACCCCACCCCTCTTCACAGAACCGTAATGCACCCCCCCCCCCCCCCCCCCCCCCCCCCCCCCCCCCCGCCCCCCCTCTCCCAGGCACAAGCTCACCGAGCACAAGCGGCAAGGTTACACCGCCGCGGAGAAGTTGAAGTGGGTTGCGCTACTTGATGGGGCGGTGTCGGTGCGCGCCTTGGCTCGCGAGAGCGGAATCCACCGCAAATGCCTCACCAACTGGAAGCGGGCGGCAGATTTCTTCAAGGAAGTTCACTCCGCCCGGAAGCGCATGCACGGCCGCGGGCGGTCGTCGTGGTACCGGCCGATGGAGTTGAAGGTGTACGAGAAGCTGCTCGAGTGGCGCCGCAAGGGAGCTGCCGTGTCAGTCGGCCGCCTGCAGGAGTGGTCGCGGGAGTTCATGAAGATTCTGTACCCGGACAAGAAGTGGAAAGGAAGCAAGAGGTGGTCGGAGCGCGTTCGGCGTCGATGGAATCGGAGCGTTTGCATGAAGACCCGGGTTGCCCAGAAAGCCGCCGCGCGTAAGAAAGACCCCGTTAAACTTGCCACGTGGTTTTTGTATATTTGTATTAACACCCTCCGTCTGTGTCCGTCCTCTCTTCTACTGCCGTATAGATGTCGCTGAGCAGTGCCGCAGCTTCTGGCAGTTCGTGCATGCCAAGCGTCGAGAGCGCGGCATCGACACCGCGTGGATCATCAACGTGGACCAGACGCCGCTATGGCTGGAGATGCCCGCCACCACCACCGTGGAGGAAACGGGTGCTCGCTCGGTGCCTATCAGGAGCGCGGGGTATCAGAAGCAGAGAGTGACCGTAATACTGGCGTGCGCGGCGGACGGAAGGAAGCTGAAGCCGTGGGTGTTCTTCAAGCGCAAAACATTGCCGAAGGGCGATTTCCCTGCCGGTAAGTAAAGAGGTGCACTCCTCGTTAACTGCGTTCTGTTCTGAGTGCGAATTCTAACCACCCGCTCGTGTTTCGTGCAGATCTAGTCGTGGCTTGCCACGAGAACGGGTGGATGGACTCCGCGGGCGTCGTTCGCTGGCTTGAGGAGGGCGTCAAGCCTTTCTTGAAGCCTCGGTTCGGCAGACACGCCAAGAGCTCGATGCTGGTGCTGGACTCTTACCGCGGTCACCTCACCGAGGAGGTCAAGGAGAAGCTCCGCGAGATGAACTGCGTGCCGGCAATAATCCCGTCGGGCTGTACGGCGGAGGTACAGCCGCTCAATGTCTCCATCAACAAGAGCTTTAAGGCGTCGGTCCGCCAGCAGTACCAGAGGTGGTTTGCGGCAGATTGGCAAGCGCAGCTGACAGCGGCGGGTATGGCATGAGTACGGTTTTGTTCTCCTCCCCCCCCCCCACCCCCCGAATTCTTTTTTGATGCACTAACAGCTTTCCACCGTTCTCTTGTAATGTTTCAGGGAATCTGAAGAAGCCTCCAGCTGAGATCGTCCTGCGGTGGATATCTCAGGCCTGGCGGGCAGTGCCGTCCGACCTCATCACGCGCGCCTTCCTCACCTGTGGCATCAGCAACGCGCTCGACGGCAGCGAGGACAACCTCGCCATGGCGCACAGGCGGACCCAGCTGACAGCGGAGGTGGATGTCGACGATAACATCATCGCTGATGTTTTTTTTGGCAACAACTGCCAGGAGCCCGAATCTGACGAGGAGTAGGAGGGGTACTGCATGATCCATGTTAGGTAGAAGTACCGGTACCCCGGCTAGACTTGTTGGTAGGAGATCTCAATTTGATGTTGTAGTTGCTAAGAAAAAGAGACAGTTTAGTGAAATCGTTTGTAATGCCTCCAATGTAAGGTTAAGGGATGCGCTTACAGTATAATAAGGACAGAAATTTCAGGGGGTGCGCTTCTAATCAAGTTCCGGCCATAAGCGCCATGCTCCAGATAGAAGCGCCGGCGCCTTTAATCGGACGGCGCCTAAATCCGGGGCCATACGGTATTTCAAACCTACGTGTCTCAATCAACAAGTTTTACGACAAGGAGGCACTGATCATTCTGTTTGCTCGGCACACACTAGGCCCGTGCTCCAAGTAAGCAGCTCGTGTGGTGCACACCTGGTGCCGGATGCGCAAGAGAGGGACGGGCAAATAGAGGAACAAGACACAATGAGTTGAAACGAACAGATGAGTACGGGAGGCAAGTGGGCACTGATCATCCAGTTTTCTTGGCACATGCTTGGTCCATGCTCCAAGTACCTGGTGCACACCTGGTGCAGGATGCACAGAGAGAGGTGCCAAACAGAGAACAAGACCTACATGGCTTAAAGAAACAGTTGACAACAGGAGGAAGCTAACGAAACCGATGGAAAGGCAAACAGGTACAATTTGAGCTGCTGCCAAACCGTTGTCATCCTGGAGATGAGGAGACATTTGAAAGTTACAAAGAGAAATCTGAAACATGGTGATGTTGCTCACTCCTTGGAAAACTGGTGACGAAGCGACAACTGAACACACTGGAGTATCAGACACAGAGCTTACCCCTTGGAAACCCGGGGAGGAGGCGACAACAGAGCCCCCGAACCAGACAGCGTGCTCCTGCAGGTGGTGTGAGACCACTGTCACCTCTATGTCAGATGCCTTGGGCTGTAATGCGGAAGAGGGTGAAGGGGGAGGAGGGTGGTAGACAATAGAAAAGGTGGGTAGAGAACCCACGAACCAGACAGACAGCGTGCTCCTGCAGATGGTGGGAGACCACCGCGACTTTTATGTCCGATGACTTGGGGTGTAATGGGGGGCGGATGGAGGGGCACGTGCGGGACAGGCAGTAAAGAAAGGTGGGTAGAGTAGAGAGCCCTCGAACCAGACAGACAGTGTGTTCCTGCAGATGGTGGGACACAGTACTGAGATGATGAGTGAGCCCCCGAACCAGACTGTGTGCTCGTGCTGGTGGTGTTCCACCATCGCCACCTCTATGTCTGATGCTTTGGGCTGTACAGGGGGAGCAGGTGAAGGGGATAAACAAAACTCAAGCATAACAATATTGCGGCGACGACAGAGCCCCCGAACCTCTGTGACCTCTATTTCCGATGCCTTGGGATGCTGGTTCGAGGAGAATGCGGAAGGGAAATGGACTAGAAGTGAGACCGTGAACCAGACAGCCTGCTCATGCAGATGGCGGATTATTACCGTCACCTCTATGTTTGATGCTTTGGGCTGTAAGGGTGTGGAGAGGGGAAGGACGTGAAGTGAATGGGAGGGAGGGCGGGATGAGGAGTGGGAATGGCATGTGCATGACGTGATGAACCGCACGCATCCTTCACTGTAAGCACATCTCAGTCGAAGCACACCTCACAATAAAGATCTAATACCAGGACATCACACAATGAGCACATCTTGATATAAGCCAAGTCTCTATGAGCAAATCTCACTATGAGCAAACTCGCTATGAGCACATTTCACTATGCTATGAGCACATCTCACTCTGAGTACCAAGGTAATGAAACTATGCGCACAACTCGCCGTAAGCACACCTCTTATAAGCAGTCCGTTTAACAAGCACACCTTACTTGCAGCAGGCAGATCCAGCCATACTGGCCTCGCTTGGATCTTCATAGCTCACTAACCACACAGTAACCGACTCACCATAAGCACACCTCACAACAAGCACATACCTCACTCACTAGAAGCACAACTCTTTACAAGCGCATCTCACTATAATCACACTTCCTCACTATGAGCACAACTCGGCATAAGCACATCTCACTATAAGCATCTCATTGAAAAGAAATTCAGCCATCCTAGCCCCAATGGCTTTCTTCAAATCCTCCGTAGTACATAACAACCTCACGCCACTATAAGCCCTCGTAATAAGCATTTCTCACTAGAAGCACACCTCATTAGAGGCAGATCCTGCAGATCCAGCCAGCATAGCCTTACTTCACGCCTTGCTAACAACGTGATAGCACCACCTCACCAAAAGCACACCCCACTATATGCACATTTCCTTCGAATCACACCTCACTAGAAGCAGATCCAGCCATCCGGGCCTCAACAACTCCCTTCACGTCTCGCTTTCAACATGATAGCAGCACCTCACTATCCCCACACCCAACTACAAGCACAATACAGTAAAAGCACATCCCACTACTAGCGCACCTCGCTAGACCCAGCCATGCGGGCCTCGATAGCTTTCTTCACATCTCGCTGCAACCGCCGCCCAAAGTCCTTGAACAGGGTGGAGCCGCCTGATAGCACAATGTTCTACGGGAGGTGAAAGAAAGAAAGGAAGAGAGCACAACGCTCCCAAACATGGGCAAGGCAAGGCAGAAATGGTCAGACAACCGCCGCCCAAAGTCCTTGAACAGGGTGGACCAGCCTGAAAGCACAATGTTCTGAAAGGGAAGGGAGGGGGGGGGGGGGTGGGTTCAAGCAGTATGAGACAGGCAGCAAGGCACGGAGGCAACGATGACCCACGGGCCACGGGTGTACAAGCAACCGCCACCAAAAGTCCTTGAAGAGGGTGGACCGGGCTGAGAGCACAATGTTCTGAAAGGGAAGGGCAGGCAGAAAAGGCACTCAGGCAACGGTGACCCATGGGTGCACAAGGAAACGTCACCCAAGTCCTTGAACAGGGTGGAGTCGCCTGAGAGCACAATGTTCTGTGGGAGTCGAAAGGAAGAAAGAAAGAGGGCCTATCGCTCTTTAACACAGGCAAGGCAAGGCAGGGATGGTCAGGCAACCGCCGGCCAAAGTCCTTGAACAGGGTGGATCCACCTGATAGCACAATGTTCTGCAGGAGGGTTTACCAGTACAGGGAGGCACAGACAGGCACTGATGCAATGATCAACCAGGGAAGACAAGGGCAAAGAAGCAAACACCGCCCAAAGACCTTGAACAGGGTGGATCCACCTGAAAGCACAATGATCTGGAATTGAAAAGAAGAAAGAAAAAGGGCAGGGATGGTCAGGCAACCGCCTGCCAAAGTCCTTGAACAGGTTGGACCCGCCTGAGAGCAGAATGTTCTGTTGGGGTTGAAGAGATACACAAAAGGAGGAATTGGTCAGAAAAGGAGGAATTGGTGGTCAGAATGATTCGCCAAAGTCCTTAAACATGGAACCAGGCTGCTGCCATCGGTGCCAGGTACCCTCTGGCTCATCTTTCAATGGGGGTACATGGTACCGATGGCAGCAGTCTGGCTCGTCGCTTCGCTAGCTGAGCTGGTGGATGCCGCATACAGCGGTTCAGGTGAGGCTCAGGCAGGGAGGGATTACCTTGTCTCATCCCATGGTCCCCCCAACAGCTGAGGCACACACATCCAGACACAACTCACTCACTTGGTAGAGCGAGCGCCATGTGTCAATGGCAGCGGTGTGCACGGCTAAGGTACGGCGGGCATTGTCTCGTGATTCCCCCTGTGGTTACCCACACAGCACTCACCTTGTACAAAGAGTGCCGTGTGTCAATGGCAGCCGTCTGCACAGGCGAGGGTTGGCTAGGGCACCGCAGCACGCTGACACATCAAGGAAGCGACCTTGTCTCACACACCCACACAGCACACACCTAGTAGAGCTATCACCGTGCATCAATGGCAGCACTCTGCACAGCGAGGGTATAAGAGAGCCTTGATTCATGGTTTCCTTTAGGGTTGATCGCCCACCTTGTACAGAGAGCGGCGTGTGTCTACGACAGCAGTCCGCACAGCAATATCCACCAAGGATCACCTTACCAGGCAGCCTGCTGCAGCCGAATAAGAGTATCTTGGCTGGCTTGCAATCGTCTCATTGCATGATAGTATCTAGAAATCGTCTCATGTTTCTCAAAGCAGTGAGGGCGCATACGACAGCACTCACCTTGTACAGCGAGCGCCGTGTGTCAATGGCGGTGGTCTGCACTGCTGAATCTACCAGCTCCGCAGCCCATTGGTACTGGCCTGCTCGGCTCATGTTCTCTTTGAGGTGCGCGGCACACGCATACAACAAGACAACACCCACCTTGTAGAGCGAGCGCCGTGTGTCGATGGCAGCGGTCTGCACTGCCGCATCCACCAGCTCTGCTAGTGACGTGCCCACATTGCTCACTGCTATCTCAGGCGAGAAAAAAACCTGGGGGGGGGGGGGGGGGGGGGGGGGGGAGGAACGTTGATCGAGCAAGGGGGAGTGGTGAAGATCTTTGAAAGGCATTCTGCGCGGCTCCATCTACCAGCTCTGCCAGAGGTGTGCCGACGTTTCTCACTGCTACCTCAGGCAAGAAGAAGACCTGGGAGGGAGGGAGGGAGGGAGGGAGGGAGGGAGGGAGGGAGGGAGGGAGGGAGGGAGGGAGGGAGGGAGGGAGGGAGGGAGGGAGGGAGGGAGGGAGGGAGGGAGGGAGGGAGGGAGGGAGGGAGGGAGGGAGGGAGGGAGGGAGGGAGGGAGGAGGGAGGGAGGGAGGGAGGGAGGGAGGGAGGGAGGGAGGGAGGGAGGGAGGGAGGGAGGGAGGGAGGGAGGGAGCGAGGGCAGGAAAGAGACGAAGGCCTTATGGAGCAGTCGGCACGGCTACATAATTGAGACACGTCGCAGCGGAAGGGCGTGTTGGTGCGCGCGTTGGTGGCGGTCCGCTGAGATACTGTGGGGACGCCGCACACTGCACTTATGAGCTGCCACTAAAGTCACTCAACTCTGCAGCCAGGAACCGCTCGTGCCCCTCGTCGCAGTGGTGTGGCACGTGCATACCCATGTGCATCCCCTCACTCATGTGCATCCCCTCACTCATGTGCATCCCCTTACTCATGTGCATCCCCTCACTCATGTGCATCCCCTCACTCATGTGCATCCCCTCACTCATGTGCATCCCCTCACTCATGTGCATCCCCTCACTCATGTGCATCCCCTCACTCATGTGCATCCCCTCACTCATGTGCATCCCCTCACTCATGTGCATCCCCTCACTCATGTGCATCCCCTCTCTCACCTCAGCTGCCAGGAACCGCTCGTGCCCCACGTTGCAGCGGTAGGGAGTGTTGGTGTGCGCGCCTTATACCCTAACCTTCAAACCCCCAAAAACCAAACGCTTGAATACCCCCGTGCATTTCCTCACTCACCTCAGCCGCAAGAAACCGCTCGTGCCCCACGTCGCAGCGGTAGGGCGTGTTGGTGCGCGCGTTGGTGGCGGTCCACACCTTGCGGTACTTATTGGGCTCCCTGTCGTGCTTCGTGAACTCCTATGGGGCACAGAGAATGGACGATGGCGATGGGGATGAGAAGACAGGGCCACATGAAATTGTGCTGGTGCGCGCATTGGTGGCGGTCCACACCTTGCGGTAATTATTAGGTTAGGCTCCCTGTCGTGCTTTGTGAACTCCTGAGCAGAGGGGAGATGGGGACAAAGGATGACATGAGAGGGGAGAGGAGAGGTGAACTCCTGGGGGCGCACAGGGTGTGGGTGGAGGGCAGGGGAGAGGGGAACACAAACCCGTGTTAGTGCGCTCGTTGGTGGCCATTCGAACCATGCCTTGCAATACCTGGATGGCTCCCTGTCGTGCCACATAAAGTGGGGCGGAGCGGAGAGGAGGTGTTGGTATGAGGAAGCAGGAGCAGCTCCTTGCTGGTGTTGGTGTGAAGTGAATCAGCGTTGGCGGCCGCCCACACCCTGGAGTAGCGAGAGGGCTCGTCGCACACCTCTCCGTTGCTCGCGTTCACTCTCCTTTATTCACCTTGCCGGTGAGATCGGCAAACACGTATACAATACAAGTATGCAGGATACGCGAGAACCCAAACATGCAGGGTGGATGGATGCACCTTGACAAGGTCGGAGCATGTGTACCCATACGTCTCCTTCCCTCTCCTTCCCTCTCCTTCCCTCTCCTTCCCTCTCCTTCCCTCTCCTTTCCTCTCCTTCACTTCCCTTCAAATCAAACATTTATAGCTATATCTACCTTGACAAGGTCGGAGCATGTGTACCCATACGTCTCCTTCCCTCTCCTTCCCTCTCCTTCCCTCTCCTTCCCTCTCCTTCCCTCTCCTTCCCTCTCCTTCCCTCTCCTTCCCTCTCCTTCCCTCTCCTTTCCTCTCCTTCACTTCCCTTCAAATCAAACATTTATAGCTATATCTACCTTGACAAGGTCGGAGCATGTGTACCCACACGTCTCCTTCCCTCTCCTTCCCTCTCCTTCCCTCTCCTTCCCTCTCCTTCCCTCTCCTTCATACATGCATAACTGTAGTTACCGTACCTTGACAAGGTCGGAGCATGTGTATCCATATGTCTCCTTTACTTTCCTCGCCACTTCAATCGCCTCTTCTGCCGGTACCGGCTCCCCTCGGTCCTGACATCGGAATGGGGTAGGGCATGGGGGTTGGGAATTGGGTAGGGCATGTGACATGGCACGGGGTAGGGCATTGGGTAGGGCATGGGATAGAGCATGGGATCGGGCATTGGAGAGGGCATTGGATAGGGCATGGGAAAGGGCATGGGGTATGGCATGGGATAGGGGTATGGGTTAGGGCATGGGGTAGGGCATGGGATAGGGCATGAGGAAGGGCATGGGGTATGGCATGAGATAGGGCATGCCCGTAACCACACAGCAATCACACATGGACTAAGGGTTGACCATGGATCACATAGCAAATACATGTGATACTCCAGAGTGCGATAGCGGCGTTCTGTGGGAAAGATTGGAGCATTTGCAAGAGCAATGAGAACGAGAGCCAACCCCCATCCACCCTCCAGCACTAGAGTGACGCGTGCTGGACAGCAGAGGGAGGGTTTACAAGGTCAATGAGAACGAGAGCTAGCGATACCATTTGATTAGTCACAGTGTGGTGTTTACCCTTGGCAAAATTCCATAGGATGGATGGAGACAGTGAAGGAGTATGGATACAACACCATATAAAACATCATAGCACATAGAAGCATATCATAACGTGCTGGTTTGAAAGAAGGCGAACCAGACAAATTTGACTCTATAATGGGAGCATCAAAACGCCCTGTACCCGCATTAGCTGTTGCACTAAGGCTGTGGAGTGAGCGCTCCCCACAGGCATGAACCAGGAGCTGGCCCCAACCCCAACACATAGCCCTCGACAACTGGGAGAGGTGCTGCACCACAATCTACCCAACCCCAGGATTACCCTCATGAGCTGTTGAACGAAGGCAGTGGAGTGAGCACCGCCAACAGGCATGGAGCGAGAGCTGCCCCCCAACACATAGCCCTCGACCACTGGGACCACTGAGGCCGACCCAAAGCCCGCATCCACCACCACCCCTGTCATTGGGACCTGGGGGGGAGGGTAGGGTGGATGGGGAGTTAGACGGAAGAGAATAGACCAGAGCTGCTCCCCAGCAAGTAGCTCTCTCCAGCACTGGGACGACCGAGGCTGAAGCAAAGCCTGCATAAACCCCCACACTTGTCATTGGGTGCCGGGGGAGGGGAGAATGGGCAATGGGAGATGGTCAGTATAGGATAAGCAGGGTCTCTGATCTGAGACAGTACGCACGGAGAGAAGGGGGAATGAATGGGAACAGATGGTTTTGAGTGACATGAAAAGAGAATGAGAGTAGCGTTGAGGGAGGGACGAAGGATGTACGGAGATATTATTTAGGCGCTTAAGAAATCACCTCTATGCAGGTGAACGGCGAGTGAGGGTTGGGTCAAGGGAGGGAGGGAGGATGCACGAAGAGGTGAACGGAGAATCAGGGCGCCTCAAGAGGAGGAACGGCGTTCACTGCTTTCACCCAAGCTGCCATTTGTGTGTGTGAATCTGCCAAAACAACAGCCAGGTTTGTTGTTTTCACCTGAGCTGCTGTATTCGCTGCAGTGAGAGCGAGGGATGGTTGACTGGCCATGTATAGACCTGCCACGTTAAAGCTGCAACCAAAGCATGAGGCACAGGAATGAGGGGAGGGGAAAGGGAACATGGGAGGAAGAGGGGAACATTAGGGATGGTTGGCTGGCCATGTAAAGCCCAGCCACGTTGAAACTGTACCCAGAGATTGAGGCAAGGGGAAGAGGAAGGGCAAGGGGAAGGGGGCAGGGAAGGGGACAGAGTGAGGGAGGGAATGGAAGAGGCAGGGGCACAGGGTTGACTGGTCATGTATAGCCCTCCTGCATCACTGCATGGCGACGGGGAAGAGAGGTGGAAGGAAAAATGGGGGCGGACAGGCTCAGAGCACATAGATAGATGGCACAGAGAGGAGGCTAGGGTCCTCTCCACTCACGTTTCAACCATGATTTCAGCAATGCGCTCTTGGTGATCCACTCGAGGGGTGTGAGCAGAGAAGTAGGTTGGAAAGCGGTTCCCTCTTAACCAACCACTCACGTTTCAATCATGATTTTTGCGATGTATTCCCGGTGCTCGAGGAGGGGTGAAAGGGGTTTCAGCCAGCACAGCAGCAGCGCATGCTCCCACTGCACTGCCTCCACCCTCGTATACTTGAAGAGTAAGCGGGCATAGCATTCCTCTCTGCTCTCACCGCACTGCACTGCACTGCACCGCACTGCACTGCACTGCACTGCACTGCACTGCACCGCACTGCGCCGCACTGCGCCAAATAGCCCCATCCACTCTCGTCTCGTCTCCCACCCACTCACGTCTCAAACATGATTTCGGCGATGTATTCGCGGTGCTCGGGCAGAGTGAGAGGGCTCTCAGCCAGCAGCAACACATGCTCCTCTGGCTCCACCCGCATGAACAGGCATCACAGACTTCTCTGCTCTCACCTCACTGCACCGCACTGCACCCACTCACGTTTCGAACATGATCTCGGCGATATATTCCCGGTGCTCCGGGGGGGTGAGAGGGCTCTCGGCCAGCAGTAACACATGCTCCTCTGGCTCCACCCGCATGTACTTAAAGAGCGCCTGCTGCCACAGATGCTCCATGGCATCCCACGCCTCTATCTGGTGGTGAGAGCGGTGCAATGGGGCATGGCGCGGTGCAATGAGGAATGGTACATAAGCAGACAGGCTATAGAGAGCACATAGCAGCAGCAGCAGCAGCATCACATGTTCCTCTGGCTCCACCCGCATGTACTTGAAGAGCGCCTGCTGCCACAGATGCTCCATGGCATCCCACGCCTCTATCTGGTGGTGAGAGCGGTGCAATGGGGCATGGCGCGGTGCAATGAGGAATGGTACATAAGCAGACAGAGGCTATAGAGAGCACATAGCAGCAGCAGCAGCAGCATCACATGTTCCTCTGGCTCCACCCGCATGTACTTGAAGAGGGCCTGCTGCCACAGATGCTCCATGGCGTCCCATGCTTCAATCTGGTGGGCAGGGGAGAGCGGTGCAATGGGGCATGGAGCGGTGCAATGGGGCATGGAGCGGTGCAATGGCTCTGCTGAAGAGGCGTGAAGAGGCTCTGCTGCCACAGATTCTCCATGGCGTCCCAAGCCTCTATCTGTCAACTACAGGAACGGAAAGCGCACATTATGGAAAGGCGCATTATTGAGGTTGAGGGACGGACGAGAATAATCCCTTCTGCTGCCACAGATGTCCCGTAGGGTCCCTCGCCCCTGATAAACGTGCACCTCTCCTCCCTTGCACCCACCTCTCCCCGTTCCACCCACCTGCACCAATCTTCACCCACCTGTCCCCTCTGCACTGGATGCCTCAGTCTGTACGGCCCAGATCAAACTTTGTCTTGATGAGTCCCCCACCCCATTCACCTCCATCCATCCACTCCACCCACCTGCACCCCCCTGGACTCACCTGTCGTGTCCTCTCTTCTCGGTATGCGTGAGTGAGCTTGTACGGCCCAGATCTTACTCAATCAACCAAAACCACCTGTACCGCTCTGCACCCACCTGTCCTCTCTGCACTGGGTGCGTCAATTTCTACGGCCCAGATCAGACATCAGCCAAATGTACTGGACTCCTCATTCCTCTCCACCCACCTGCAACCCTCTTCACCCATCTGCACCCACCTGCCCTCTCTGCACGAAACCCGCCAGCTTGTATCAATTAAACTACCCGTACCGCTCTGCACCCACCTGTCCTCTCTGCACAGGGTGCGTCAGCTTGTACGGCCCAGATCGCGCAGCAGCGTACGCAGCCTCGCCCACGTGGACGTCCAGGTCAGCCATGAGCGCTGCCACGTGGGCCTGCTGCTGCTGCTGAGCTGGCGACACGGCATTGGCTCCAGGCGCCGCCAGCGCAGCAGAGGCAGCGAATGAGTCGTGGCAAGCAACAACAGTGGGGATGACGAAGCTGGGCTCTAAGTTGCCGCCAAATCCCATCTTGGTGAACCTGAGGGGAAAGAAGTGTGGGTGAGAAAAATCATCCAGTAGTGGGACACACATGAGTCGTGGCGCAGGCAACAACTGTGGGGATGACGAAGCTGGGCTCTAAGTTCCCTCCGAAACCCATCTTGGTGAATCTGTGAGGATAAGAAGGGAGGAGAGCAGGAGCAGCAGAGGCAGCGAATGAGTTGTGGCAAGCAACAACAGTGGGGATGACGAAGCTTGGCTCTAAGTTCCCTCCGAAACCCATCTTGGTGAATCTGAAGCGGGTATGGCGTTGGGTCGAAGAACAGGGAGAAAGGAGCAGGACGCGAATGAGCGGCGACAGGTGGCGGCAGTGGGTATGACGAAGCTGGGCTCTAGATTGCCGCCAAAGCCCATCTTGGTGAACCTGTGATGAATGACAGGCAGGAGCGTGGGCCACTGAAGGCACCTGTAGTGGCGATTTTAAGAGAGAGTTTCGAGATATGAGGTGGGGAAGGACGGAGGGGATGGCGAAAAAGGGTTACCCGGATCCATTATCGAGGACTATGGCGCTTCGCTGGGTGGGGTCCATCGCAAGCCGGGCGACGCGTCGTTGCAAGTCGCACAGTGGTCGGCGGAAGCCACTTGAGGTGAAGACGCAAGGAACGCGACGTCGTGCGACAGGTGCGACGCGGATCACTGGTTACGACACAATGCGACAACGCGCGACGCGGCCTAGCAAGAAACGTCGCTGCGTGTCGTTGTGTCCGTGAGAGTATCCCAGGGCTTACGGTTGTCTACGTCTGATGTGTTCGGATGCGGAAAAACAACGCGATTCGAGCGAATAAGTGTCTCCTTAGGGTTAGCGAGAAATAGCCGAAATTAGTGGTGTCGATTTTTAGTGCTGTAAAAAGTGATCCGCTACAAGCGAGGACGAAAGACCAAGCGTCAAGACAGTTATCGAAGACGGTTGCAAGCAGGAAGAATTCGAAATGAAAAGAGCGGGAAAAGTTCAAACGGTTACCGAACCGCGTTCGGTTACCGAGCCGCACAGTTGCAATCCTGCATCTAGATTAGCCCTAAGGGGAATGTACCCCCTCAGAGTACATGGCTAGCTAGGACCTTTCGTATTCCACTGTATTCCTATATAAACCCTTGTACCGCATTGTGTTAATCACTTCTGTCGAGATTCAAATCTCCTTCTACTGACAGAGTCCGTACCCGACAGTGTTCAAACCTTCCGCTGCTACACTCAGTGCGATCAACCTGAGACGATCCTATAAGACGGTTCAGATTGTATCATGGTATGAGAGCCACTCAGGATTCTTCGCACCACCACACTTGATTCAAATTCAAATTCAAGGTGGCGTCCGGTACGCGCTCCCGCCGAAACATGGCTGGAGGATCGGGAGGGCAAGCGCCCTGTCAGAATGAACGGACAGGAATGATTGAACTAACAGTGAAATCAGTACAAGTACCTAACCCTAGAATTGTGTACCCCCTATAGGCTAACCCACTGTAGCCTAAACAAACACAACATATATATAATGTTTGACACACCCCCATAGGCAAAGTGGGGGAGAACTAGGGGTCACAAGACCGGTCAAGGCAAAGCAGGACACAACAAGCTCAGGGTGGATCTCAAGGATTCCACACAAATTCCGAGCACAAGCAAGTGGTCACAAGACCAGTTCACATGCAGGTTTATAATAGAGCAAGAGGTACAATGATCACAACCTAGCAAGAGTAAACATGCAGGTATATATATAGAGATCACAGTACAAACAGAGTCAAGAAGTAAGTAAGTGAGGTCCAGTAGGTACAAGGCCTAGCAGAGTGCAAAAGCGCTGATGGTCACAAGGCTGAAGCGCCTTGGTGAACACATCAGCAGTGTTGGCCTCAGTGGCCACGTAACGCAGACAAAGCTGACCACGCTGCTGCAGCTCTCGAGCAAGGAAGTACCGCAGGGCGATGTGCTTCGTTCTGTGCTCCAGTCTGTGCTCCTCACACAAGGCAATGGCAACCTTGTTGTCGACGTACAGCACTGGAGGAGAACGAGGCCGCTCTCCCAAGTCGGTCAGAAGGATAGGTCAGCCAGCGTAGCTCCTGTGCAGCCATGGCGGTGGCGTAGATCTCAGCCTCACAACTGGAGCTGAGAACAGAAGAAGAGCGTGTAGAACGCCAAGAAACTGAGCCAGAGCCAAGGCTGAAGGTGTAACCCTGAGACGACCGCTGAGTAGCCTGGTCGTCCGCCCAAGAAGCGTCTGAGTGTCCAGTGAGTACAACTCGGTCTCGCCCTCCAAGCACTAGCCCCATGCCCGACGTACTGCACAAGTAGCGCAACACCCTCTTAGCGGCATCCATGTGCTCCTTCCTGTGACGGCCAGGAGCGACATAGCGTGCAAGGATGCTAAGAGGGTATGCCAGGTCAGGTCGAGTGCAGGTCATCAGGTACATGAGGCAGCCCACAAGCTCTGGATACGGGCCACTCGGCTCTACGGACTCATCCGAAGGCAGAGCTGAGAGCGAGTGACCGGTAGGCAGAGGAGTGGACTGAGGCGAGGAGTACGTGAAGCGGAAGCGCTGAAGGATCTGCTGCACCATGTGTGACTGAGTCAAGGTGATGGTGCGCCGTGCTCTGTCCCGGGTGATCCGCAAGCCAAGATAGCTTGTCAGTTCACCCAGGTCTGTGTACGTGTGTCTCCTCTGCAGCTCCGACTTCACGTGGGCAAGTGCCGCAGTGTCAGCAGTGGCAAAGACCAAGTTGTCGACGTACACGAGGATGTAGAACGGCGGCAGCGAGGTGTCGGTGCGTAGAAATAGTGACGGGTCAGCAGTAGAGGGAGCGAACCCAAGAGCCGCAAGTGTGGTCCTCAGTGTGTCGTGCCACTCACGCGGTGCCTGGCGGAGACCGTAGACCGGCCGCTGGAGCCTCCACTGGGTACCAGGAGGAACCGACCCAGTGAAGCCAGGAGGGCGACGCAGCCAGATCTCCTCGTGCAGGCTGCCCTGCAAGAAAGCAGTGCTGAAGTCAAGTGAGTGAAGCTCGTAGTCGCGCTGAACGGCTATGTGCAGCAGCACCCGAAGAGTGGTCATCTTCGGGGTGGGGGAGAAGGTCTGGAAGAAGTCTACTCCCTCTCGCTGACTGAAGCCTCGAGCAACGTAGCGCGCCTTGAAGACAGGAGGAGAACCCGGCGGCCGCTTCACCCTGAAAATCCACATGCCACTGACGATGTTCGCCCCAGGTGGGGGAACCTCGTCAACGTAGGTGCCTGTGGACTTCCAGGAAGCCATCTCTGCGTCCATGGCTGTCTGCCACTGAGAGGAGTAGGGACCCGCCATCGCCTCAGCGTAAGAGCGCGGGGTCGGGATGTCTGGTGCATCCGGGTCTCCCTCGGGGGCAACTAGCATGGACACGAGATGGGGCAAAGCAGCAGCAAAGCACTGGAACTCCTCTTGTCTGTCCTCAAGGACGTCCGTGCCAAGAGCACACTCATCCCCGACGGACGGAGGACAGACAGACTCAGACTCAGCAACAAGGCTAGCGGCGTAGTCTAGACGACACCGGGCAGCAAAGTCTATCAACTCAGCGACCAGAGCAGACGCAGCAGAGGACTCAAAGGTAGGGTCAGTGACAACAGTGGCGAGGAGACGTGTGACAGTGGGACTGGCAGCACGACGGGAGTCAGACTCCGGGTCAGGAAGAGTAGGAAGAGAGGACACAGGAGGAGACGGCAGAGGGACACGCTGAGGAGCAGTGGAGGGACGCAGCGTCATGTAGTGAGTGCCAGGGACAGGAGGAGGACGCTCACGTGGGACACGACGACTAGTGCGAGCAGTACGAACAGGCGACGCAGGACGAGACTCAGGCTCACGACGCTCCGTAAGACCTCCTGTCGTACCTGTGTTAGAGGCGAGGCAGGCGGTAACTGTGACTGCGACTGGACAGGCGGAGGACACTCTACGGAGGGAGGAGGACAGGGAGGAGGAGCCTGACCAAGAACCTGCTGAAGGAGCGGTACGAAGTACGGTCGCGGCCGTGCAGCGTCTCCAGAGCCAGCAGAGACACCAGCGCCAGGGTCCTCAGTACCAGCAGTAGCTCCACCGCTCGGGTCCTCAGCACCAGCAGTAGCTCCACCGTCCGGGTCCTCAGCACTAGCAGCAGCTCCACCGCCCGGGTCCTCAGCACCAGCAGTAGCTCCACCGTCCGGGTCGCGGGGGGGTTGCTAGCAAGGAACTCGTCAGGCATAGCAGCGCGGAAGCGGGCCTCACTAGTCTTGAGGTGGGTGATGAGGTCAGCAACTGTGTGAAAGGAGGCCAGGTCGGGGAACAGGTAGGGGAGTGAGAGGCGGCCTAGTGCGGCAGAAGCAGGTGAGGAGTAACGAGCGACGACAGCAGTGTACAGGTCCTTAGCAGTTTTGTGCTGGCCAAAGTGCTCGCGCTCATCTAGCGGCAGGGAGTTGCGAATGGCAAAGCGAGCGTGAGCGTCACGAGTCTGCCACTGTGAGCGCTGAGTGCTGTCAGCAGTGGAAGGAGGGGCAGTAGCATGGCCTAGGGCGTGATCGTACAGTGAAATGTCCTCCTTGGCAGTGAGCTGTAGGAAGAGGTGGAGGTCATCGAGCCATGTGTCGAACTTCAGCCCTCAGCATCGAAAGCGAGTACAGGAGGAGTGGCCATAGTGGCAGTAGTAGTAGTAGTAGTAGCAACAGTAGCGGTAGCGGTAGGAACAGTAGGAAAGGGGGGAGGGCCGCTGGGAAGCTGTGCGCGGGGTCAACGGGCCAGCGTGCAGCGGCGCACGGGCGGCAGCAGCTGAGGCGCACGGGCGGCAGCGGCAGCGGGCGTGACAGCGGCAGTGGCAGCGGCGCACGGGCGGCAGCAGCTGAGGCGCACGGGCGGCAGCGGCAGCGGCGCACGGGCAGCAGCGGCAGCGGCGCACGGGCGGCAGCGGCAGGGGGCGCGACAGCGGCGCACGGGCGGCAGCAGCAGCGGGCGCGACAGCAGCGCACGGGCAGCAGCGGCAGCGGCGCGCGGGCGGCAGCGGCAGCGGGCCTCTAGGGAGGCGAGCGCGGGGCTGACAGGGCCGTACGAGGCTAGCGCGGGGCCGACGGGGGGCCTCTAGGGAGGCGAGCGCGGGGCCGACGGGGCCGTAAGGGGCGAGCGCGGGGCCGACGGGGCCGTAAGGAGCGAGCGCGGGGCTGTAAGGGGCGGGCGCGGGGCCGTAAGGAACGCGCGCGGGGCCGTAAGGGGCGAGCGCGGGGCCGTAAGGGGCGAGCGCGGGGCCGTAAGGGGCGAGCGCGGGGCCGACGGGGCCGTAAGGGGCGACGAGCGGGACGCTAAGGGGCGGGTCGCGGGTCGCGAGGCCTTAAGGGGCCGTGAAAAAACAAGGCGCCCTAGGGCGCAGGTAGGTAGCTAGGTAGGTAGGTAGGTAGGTAGGTAGGTAGGTAGGTAGGTAGCGGTGGGCCCTAAAAAAAAAAACGGTCCTAGCGAAGGACCTGCTCTGAAACCATGTCAGAATGAACGGACAGGAATGATTGAACTAACCGCGAAATCAGTACAAGTACCTAACCCTAGAATTGTGTACCCCCTATAGGC